CTCTTGTAGGATCTGCCTACCATCAGCCCTCCCAGTAAATTTCCAATTGGTTATACCTATGTGCATTAACAAAACCTGTGTGGTTTACTGCATCTTTGAATCTATACATATAAAGTACATGCCTGTATATCCATTTACTTAGTACAGCATGGTAATGAGGAGAAAAGCAATGCAATGGAATGCAGTGAAGACTTCAGAAAACAATTTATTAAACAGAAAGCCCTGTTCCTATTTTTGAGTTTTCAGATTAGTGTAGGAACTGGTCTACATCCCAAAGTTTTGCTGGCACAGCTAAGTTAAGAAGATAACAAATGAGCAAGTTAATTGACATCCCCATGACAACAAAAGTCTTAGAGCTATGCCAGAAGAAATCTCCTTGACAGTCTAATTTCTCTAGCTTGTGAAATGGGAGAAGGGAAAATAACATTTTCCTCTATTTTTTTAGGATAATTTGAGATACAAATTACCATCAAACTTTTTCCAGCTTAACAAAGACCTGAATCTGCTTAGGATGATTTCTCTCATTAAAATGGCTCACGGTGTTAAAGGAATGTTATTTAACTCAAATCTAGTCAAAATCTGGATTTCTGTTCAGATCTGACTGCTCCCAGACTCTTTTTAAACTGCAATACAAGAACAGTACCTGCTGCAGGCTGTGGTTTCTGTAGCCACGCTCACACAGCTTGCTGCCATATTTCACCCAGGTGACTGAGACCTTTCATAAAGTGTTAAGTGCTTTTTTGAATGGCTATTCCAATTATTTCAGATATTCAACCCTATATACTTGGGATTTTCCTTAAGTACCTCTGGAAAATATTTCCAAAGCCTGCTAAGAATAAACCTCAAATCCTTCTGATTCTTTTCTCTCTTTTGTCACCATCCATCTCCTCCCACGCAGCCTGCACCATTTTCACAGTCTCATCAGCCAGCACAGATGAAAGCAGCGCTCTGTGCCATTCCAATTGCCACTGCAAACACACAGAAGCTGTGGAGATGTTCTCACAGATTGCTGCCATGTGGCCTTAGCTCTGTAACCTGCCACCATGCTGTGGATTGGCCCTCAGGGTTCTGGACATGATTACAACAGCTGTCCCACCAGCTCAGGAGTGCTGGAAGATGCAGGGGGCAGGAGAGTCAGCATTCAGGGTGGAAATTCTCTTTTTGAATGTATAATTCAAGAGGCAAGTGGTAGGGAATGTCCTGGGACAATAGGCAGCATCTGTTGGGTATCTGGGTAAAAACAGGTCAAATTTTTGGATGTCTGTGCAAGATTCAGCTCAAAGTCACTGCCACTTACTACTTAAGCATCAGAGTTCCTGAAGGTAAACATGCCGCCCATGTTTGACTAGGCTCAGTTTGGTGCAGACAGATGGGATGCTCTGCTGGAGGTGGGCAGTGACATGAGAAAGGTGGTGCCAGCAGATGTTACAAGGCATGCCACCGCTCACTGAGGGCTTTGTACACACATGGTTTGGAGTTTGAGAGGAAAAACACTGAATGCTCTTACAAGGTGTCAGAACCTGTTAGTAGAAATGGGTACCAATGCATTGGGCTGCAATATCTGGATGAGTACAACAGCAGGCTTACTAGTGAGAATGCAGATGGTCTGGAAACTTTCATATTCAATACAACTGGTGATCACCATAACAGACATAAATGTTGTTCATATTCTCCCCGTAATTCCCTAGACCATTTATGTGTGATTAAATCTTCTACTCAAAAACGTACACACTAGAAATGAGTTGTTTAATCATTTGTAGCTTCAGGATAACATTAGAAAGCATTTTAGTGTCAAAAAGGGAAATGCAGCTGCCTCTCAGTAAATGGGAAGACCATAGAGGGCTACCCGTTGGAGGCAGAAGCAGTTTTGCCCTATACTTGTGAGAACAAGGTGGAAATGTGCTCTGAGCATTGTGAGGTAGCCATGCATAATTCCTTCTCCAAAGTGACAGCTGCCTGGGACATGTACGCAAGGATTCCTTATGTTCTGATTTTGTCCTTTTGCTTCATTAAACTTGTAGTTGCATTGCTTTCTTTATGCTTGGTGTGGCATTCCATCGATACTGCTATGAAATTTCATGAATTTAACAGAGTATCAAGAGACAATGCTTCATGGATGGTAGCACAAATGTTTTATGTAGTTACATGAAATATTTCACAAGATACCTGATGAGTATTTCGTATGGTCTGATTTGTGTGATTCCAGGGTTATGTCTTATTCAAGCTGTAGAAACACTTAATCAGAATGGCAAGGAATAATTCATGAAATATCGCTCGAATATTCATATGAAACTGCTTGAGATGTTTCATGACTAGCCATACAACCATTTGGGAAGAATTTTTTACAAAGCTTTCTTTTTGTACCTTCCTCAAAATATTACTACCACTTTTCAATTATGCTAATGCTTAATTCAAAAATACTTTGAGAACAATAGCTCTCTTTCCTTCTTAATGATTGTGTAGACGTGAAAGGGTTTTTCAGTAAGTATGAAACATAGGCACAGACACTGGTTTAGTTTCCCAGTTCATTAGAGCTTTCTAAACATCCTCTTCCCAGTTGTGTCTCTGCACCTCCTCCTCCTTCCTGGGAGTCTGCAATCAGCCAAAACTAAACAGTGGGAGCAGGACAGCTGCTGTCCTGCTCCAGGATGCTGTTTGCAGGCCAACAGTACAGACACACAAACACCTGGAGGCAAAAGTAGGTGTCTGCCCGAATTATTTTCCATAACCAGTATTGTATACATGTGGATCTTTATAGTACGGGTAGAACAAACCTAGAATAAAACAATTATCCACCTCCCTTTCATAGATTCCTTTGAGCTGTACAATCTGTAGCCGCTATCTCCATTTTTAAGTTGTCTTGCCAAACACTGCACTTCACAGTCACATTTTTCTATGCTTTGAGATGTTTGCTTTCTATTATTACTCTATGAATGATCCAGACAAACAAAATGCAATTGGCTTTGGCATGAGTTTTCAATCTTTACATGGCCTTCCCTATGTCGAAAGGCACGCAGCATTATGGGCTCCAAATAATAGTGCCAATTAGTGATAGTTAACATGCAAGGCACGAATGCTTCCTGCCAGGCCCTTAGCAGCTTTTGAGCAACAGAAGAGAGCTAAGATTACTACCTGGCTCACAAATCCTTAGAAGGATGTTCTGCAATTGCTACTCAACGCAGTGAGGTAAGTGGCAAAACTGATATAATCAGGCTGCTATCACACATACAAAGTCCACAAGCTGGAAAAATAGGAAAAATAAACATTTTATTTCCCTTATCTCGTTCTCCTGCTGATTTTGGCGATGTCACCGGGAACAGCCTATTGTAACGCTTTTTTTGGACAGAAATGCAGCATGGTTCTCAATGCTGCATAGAAATCGTTTAATAAAGACTCAGTACTGTTCTGGCAGACAGCCGAGGAAATAACTCTTCATCTCCTCGGGACGGCTGAGCTGCCGCCGCTGAGCCCTTCCCGACGGGAGCGGAGGCTGAGACACCCCGCTCCATCCGTGGTGGCCGAGCGCCGCCTGCTGCACGGCCCGGGAATCGGCGGGCGGCTGGTTAGAAGAATTAGAATTCGGGACTGATTGCTCGTCTGGCATAAACGGATAAATGGAACGGGATGACCTCTAAGGTTCCCTCCAATCTAAGCCATTCTATGATTCAATGAGTTGACTGCGGTCACCTTATCTTCCAATGGGAATCTGTCCCACAGAAGCTTTTCAGCCCTGGTCCCTGAGGATTCGTGCAGCTAAACCACAGTTCCTGTGAGAATCTTCTATGCTTGTCCACACAGTCATAGCACAAGTCTGTTAAATGCAGCTTCATCTGGTCTGTTCTTCACCAACAGGCAGGGCAGCTGTGGGACATGAGCAGTAATGTTTTATCCTGAAGACATAAACAAATTCCAACAATTTCACAAGTAAATTGTTTTTCCTTTGGAAAACCCACTGAAAATTGTGCAGAGGTCTGAAATGATGTCACTGTATGGAGTTTAGTGGACAGTGTACAGGAATGGAAGTCAAGTGCGCAGTGGTAGCAATTCATTATCAGATAGCTCTGTAAAATTACCGTAGGGCAATTGCCACTTGAACTGGTGCGAGCAGACTCAGGAGAAAGAAGGGATTAAAATCCTGACTGATTGGTTACATCATTTGAAATCCAGGAGGCATGCACTGCACAGCCTGTTTGAAGCTATGTTGCCACTCGTGGATATGCATTTCAAGTTTTTGAGTTTCTAGAGATGCATTTCTTTAGATATCTCCATTTTAACAGACCAACAGCTGCCTGATTAACATTGAAAAATAATTTTGGTATCTCCTAGATTTGTATCAACTTCAGCTCTTTGTTCATTTTCTTTCCATATTAACAGTAAAGACTTGCAGTAACTTGTTTTAAAGTTCAGTTACAAATATGTATAGGTGTGTAAGGTGGAAGCTAGAGAGTGGAAGATGGAAATGGTTGTAAGGAGAGAATTTAGGCACTCGGGGACATGGCTGTGGCACAGAGGGACACGATTAGTGGGCATGATGGGAGTGGGCTCACTGTCGGACCAGATGGCCTCAGAGGTCTTTTCCTAGCTCCACTACACAATTCTGTGTATAACACTGCAGTAATGATGCAAAGCAATAGGAAAGTAGATGAAGAAAAAAAAAAAGAAGAAAAAAAGTGATGCATAGAATGAGGAAGACAGCAACAGAATAAGCCCAGAGGACAGTTCTTCTAAAGTGGCTCTGAATACCCTTTCCCCTTCTGAAGCCTGTAGGAGCAGCCTTGGCGCCCCTTCTGGAATCGGTGCGATTTGTCGGGTGCTGGTGATTTATAAACGCAGCCAACGCTGCACCGGGCCCATTTCGTTTCCTTTAAGCGCCGAACGCCGACAGGCTTCGCACAGCAGGGCAGGCGGTCCGCCGGCAGCCGCGCAGCCCTGCAGGGGGCGCGATGCGAGCACCGCTCCCGCCGCGCCGCGGCCGCTCTGGGACTTCCGCCTCGTTGGTGCTGACGGCGGCGGCCTGCGCGGAGCGGCGGCGGCCCGAGTGGCGGCGGTGGCGTCAGCGGCGGCCTCGGTTGCAGCGACGGCTCTTCCCCTTCCCCGCCGTGCCATGCCCACCGTCGAGGAGCTTTACCGCAACTACGGCATCCTAGCGGACGCCACAGAGACGGCGGGCCAGGTGCGGCGCGGCTGCGGCCTGCAAGGCCTCGGCAGGCCTGGGGCTCGAGTGGTGCGGCGGGGAGCTCTGGGCTGGGCGGGCCGGGCTGCCGCCGGGGCGACGCTGCAAAGGGGGCTGCTTCCGTGCTGATTGCGTGCGGGTTTCCACGGCTCGGGGCACGTTGTGAAACGACCCTTACGGCTGCGATCCTGCGGGGTGGGGGGGAAAGGGAGTGGAGCAGCTCCTGCGGTGGATGCCCTTCGCTTAGATGCGGCTATTTAGGAGTCAGTAACAAGAAGCGGGCTGCTCGTGGCGTGGGGACGCGGAGTTTCTCCTACCGGGTTCCAGCCTTTAGGAGGGTGTCGGTAGCCCTGCTGGTGTGGTGCGGTGTTGTTATAACATGCGTAAGTAGTGGATAACACCGCGTACCTAACAGTGGATTGTAAGTATGTACTACGACACGAGGTTATTTGGGCAGTCCTTTAAGGTTTTGTAGTTTGTTTTTAAAGTTAGTTTAAGCTCCAGTCTGTTTACTTTGCTTGTGTAACTGTGCCCCAGCGAAACGAAGTTGCAGGCAGGTCAATAAAAATATGAGTTCAGAGTGTTGAAAATATGGAGCTAAAATGTTGGGAGCTATGAGGAGAGAAAATAATTAGGTGCCATAAGTATGCTGTTTTAAAGTGTGTAGTCACTCATCATTTTCAGAGTTGTGGGTAGCTCTTGTAAGACAGGAATGGCTGCATGAGGTAGAACAAACTCCAGAATGGCTACAATTGCTGCCTGTAGCAGGGATCGGTACCCCCGGAGCTGCCAGAACCTCTCAGTGTCAGAAGAGGGTGATGGAGAATGATGGATCCTGGTGCGTTTTCCACTTACAAGTTTCCAGAGCCTCTTTGTGATTAGTGTATTGTGCTGGGTTGATCTTCCCTAGTCTTTTCTGACACTTTTTTTAAACTGATTGTATTTCTGTCATGCAAATGTTCTGTGACAAAATGTTCCATTGCTTTGTGAAGCAATTACCTTCTTTAAACTTCTCATTTCATAATCACAATGTCTCTTATTTCTGGATTCTGAGAAGCAGTGAGTAATTGTTCTTTATTCATCATTTTTATCCCTCTCCATTATCCCTTAATATCCCTGTGAATGTGATGTCTCACATTCTTTGACTATAAAAAAAACTCATAGTCACGCTATCTCAAAAAGGAAAGTTTGAACATGAGGAAATGAGCCAGGAGACCACTAGAAATATAACGTTGAATGGAGTAATTTAAAGCACCAGAAGTATTCGGCTTCTAAAAGTATTTCAGTTGTGAAAAGGACTGATAGGATGAGTCTGCGTCACAAGTAGAAAGAAGGTGAGAATGTCAAAAGAAAAAAAACAACTATCAAGAAGTGGTTTAAAATAAAGAAGACAACGCGCTTTTCCATAACACTTTGTTAAACTTGTCATGAGGTGTTTCAAAGTATTAAATCAGTTCAAGAGCTGATTAAGAGAAATCAATGGATGAGTGGTCAGAAGCTCAAACATTCTTGTGTTAGTGATTGGGAGGAAATGTGCAAAAGTGCAGGATTACTGTTTCTGCAGTTAGCTGCTCTTTCTTGGGCATTGATTGCTGCTAGATGGGTGGTAAGACAAACTTCTGCCTCCACTGAGTATTAGGAGTAATTAGCATGCAGTAATAGAAATTCCTGGAACACAGGCTATTCTATTTCATTTGCTTTCTGGATGGTTTTTAAGTACATGTGAAGTTTAAGCAGTTTGTTTCACAAAAAGTCATTATTTGCATGCTGCCTTTGAATTTGTAACCGTAACAATCTGTATTTGATCATTAGTTTGCACTGGCTCGTTCGTGCACATGCTGAGGCAGGTCAGATGGGGGTGTGGGTCAGCTGGAAAACAAATTTGCCTTGGTAGTTTTCCTTCCACATCAGTGTCTCAGTCTGGTTCAGAATCTGGCACAGATGGGTGTCAAATGGAATAAGGAGTGTATTATTCAGGACCAATAAGCATTGGTCCTGAATATTAAAATATAGCTTGCTACAAAGGGAGTAAAAGTAGCATACTGCTTTGTAAATTAGTATCTCTACTTGCTGCAGGTGAACTTTTATATGGAGTAGCGGTGATGATATGTGTGACTCTAAGAAACTCAGAGCAGATAAAGGAAAGTGTCCTGTACTGTTGAGTTGCTCTTCAAAGTGGGATACACTGCCTGAATCTTCCTTTCACAAAAATTAAGAAAATTAATGATAGAAGATGATGATTTCTGCTAGCATCCTAGTGATAGGAACTTTTATTTCTAGCAGAAGGTCTCCCTGCCCACAGCAGGGATAGAACTGGGTGATCTTTAAGGTCTCTCCCAACGAAAACCATTGTGTGAATAGCTAACTACAACAAAGGCTTGAATTTATTGTGAAGGTTCGGTCCTACAGGCATGTCAGAAATGCCTGTGTGGTTTGGTTGGAAGAACTGAATGGAGACTTTTCCACCCGGTTGCTTAAGTGCTGTTTTTTCCTCAGTATTTCAACTGCATGTTTATTTATTTATTGCATCCAATCCTTGCTATCAGATTTTTCAAAACTCTCATACATCAATTCAGCCATTCAAATAGATGCCAGAGATGCTTGAGAGCAGTAGATCATAGAAGTCACTCATGATTTGTTGCAGTTGTACAGTTGTTGGGAGAGGTAACCTCTGCATAAGAGAGCAGACAAAAGACAGAAACTTGTCAGAAAAATAATGCTTAAATTCAGTGAAGAAAGTGATAATGTAATTCCTTTAGTCTGTGCTAATCTAATGACAAGTGGCATGTAAGAGCTGTTAGCCTTAGGGCAAAGAGTTTTTGAACAGTAAGCACTTGAACAGGTACTGGAACCAGAAGAACAGTACAGTCAATAGGGACAAATTTTATTGGTTCAGCGAGATTAGATTGCTCTAAGAGAGAAATGCACTTCTTTGTATGAGGCTTGTATAATTCAGTTCATTTTAATAGGTGCAATAGAAGAGGAAAGAGAAAATTCTTTCATTTCTTAAGAATACACCAAAATTTTTTCTATTTGCATGTTCTGTTTTTTTCCTCTTCCAGCACAAGGATGCCTACCAGGTGATCTTGGATGGTGTGAAAGGAGGCGCCAAGGAGAAGCGACTTGCAGCCCAGTTTATTCCAAAATTCTTCAAGCATTTTCCTGAATTAGCTGACTCAGCTATCAATGCCCAGTTGGACCTCTGTGAGGATGAAGATGTTTCTGTAAGAATGGGGACCAGAAACTTCTATCCAGTTGCTGTGATGATTTATATTTTGTTCTCATTTTCCTTTCTTTTTAGTTTCTTAGCCTATGTCTAGGAGGGGACTTTGGCCTCTGGAAGCCCTAAACACGTAGTAGTATTCCTGCAATAGAAAAATCTATTGTGTGATGGTGTGGGAAGATAAATCATTTTTTCTTTGTCTTTTCACTCCCATCATTGATCAACAGAATAATTCTGTAGAAAGAAGCTTAGATGTGGTTTCTTTGAATATCTATTGCATTTCTCCTTTCAAAGCACTTTGTGGTAATGGACTCCAATAAATCTTGCTGGAAGGCAAGAAAATTTCCTTTGCACCTGAGAACCATAAGGTTGTGATCTGGCTTCATGCAGAAGTCTTGAGATGCTTTGTGCTGCTTCTTGTTTTGAAATAAGCTGGATCTTAAAGGATGTAAGCAGATGATTGAAGGAGTTTTGGCAATGCTGGGAAAAAACATCATTTCTCTGCCATATGCACACCTGTAACAGTGTCCTTTCCATTAGCAAATAAGATTCCATAATAACTCATATTCCAGCCCTTTGTTGTGTTTGTTACTTAAACTGTTGATCAGATTAATTATTCTGTGAATGTAGTTGCTGGTCAAATTGTCTTTTCTCCAGTTCTGCTTGAATCTAAGAAAAATATATTTTTTTCATCTTCCAAAGTATGTCTTCATAGTTTCATAGCAAAGAGGATGGTTGGACTGTCATCGGAGTCTGAGAGTTGAACATCACTGTGAGAATATGATGCTCCTGCTAAGAAGATTTGTGGTCGTTTCCTCAAATTTGGCTGATTTTTTCCGCCAAACTTGATATGGGACTCTTTAATCTTTCTTTTTGTGTTACTTTTCCACAATTTTCCATTACTTTTTCTTTTCAAATTCCACAGATCCGGCGCCAGGCCATTAAGGAGCTGCCTCAGTTTGCCACCGGAGATAATCTTCCCCGGGTAGCAGACATACTGACTCAGCTTCTGCAGTCAGGTAGGAGATGCACACCTGGAAATGTATGCAGTTTGTTCTGTTTTCAGTTGATTATTTTGCTGCACAGCAGCCTGTCCCAGTGGCACCCACACCCAGCTGTTGCTCCTCTTCCCCTCTTTTGTTTACTCTCCCCTTATGTTGCTACTATTGTGAATTATGTTGTGAATTTTTTGTGAACTATTATTTTGAATCTTTTTTTGCCTTGAACCTTTTTCATTCAAGTTCTTTTAAAGCAGGAGAGGAAGATAAATCTGCAGTTACAGACTGCACTAAATTACCTTCTGACCAAGAGCTATTGGATTTCTAATCCAGAAACCTTAACAAAAAGATGGAATGCATTTTTTGTACAAAATATCTAATTTGGAATTTCATATACGATGTTTTTTTAATAATTCAGTAGGTTTATGGAGTGCTAAATATTAGATGTTCAAAACTGTATTAAAAATGCATGCTTGAGTCTCTACAGTATTGCGTCTCAGAAGAGAAATATTTTTAAGGGACATGGGCATATCTTAGTTTAGGGAAAATTGTTTCTTCCATTGGGAAATTCCATAGATTAAAAAGAAGGTATTGTTTCTTTTGCCTGAATTTAAAGAAGGCGAGCTTATTCAACTGCTCCTTAAAATTATCAAACTTACTGCGTTAAAACTTTCAAGTTTTCAAGCCTGCCACATTTATAATGTTGAAGTTTTGGGGGACAAGGGAATTAAGATGAGATCTTCATCTTTCACAACCATGACTATTTCCACAGTCTAATAGCAGTTAAAATACAAGTTACATTATTTATAATGCTGGTGATAGAATCCTTCTTGTTTGACATCAGAAATCTTTCTGCATTTATGTTTGCTTTTCAAGGATATGAATGTGATTTTTTTTCTCTCTTCAGATGATTCTGCAGAATTCAATTTGGTGAACAATGCTTTGCTCAGTATATTTAAGATGGATGCTAAAGGTAAAGGACACATTTTTCTTAAATGTATTTGTTTAATACTTTCTACTACCTAATGCGGTGAGAGCTGGGCCAAAATTTGTGCTGTTTTAGTGCAGTGCGAAAGATGGAGATGTATTCATTACTTTGTTTTGCAAACAGTACTGGAATTTGTAATAGCTGTGGATCTGAATTATACAGATTAATAAAAGAATCGTATCTCTTATATCAAACTATGAAAACTGTTTTGTAAATGTTTTGTGGGGTCTTAAAGGAAACTACTGTCTTCTGTATGAGTGGCTCAGCTGCTAAGTTTTGAAATAATTGGTGTTTCCTGATTCATTCTCCTTTCAGGGACTCTGGGAGGCTTATTCAGTCAAATTCTTCAGGGGGAGGATATTGTGAGAGAAAGAGCCATCAAATTCCTCTCTACAAAACTGAAAACCCTTCCTGAAGAGGTGCTGAATAAGGAGGTTGAAGAGTTCATATTAGCTGAATCAAAGAAGGTGAGCATCTTATGCTACAAGTTTAGATATTACTAAACTATCACTGGCAATGTTTTCAGGTCTGTTACTTAAAACCAGTCACAGTAAAGGCTTAGTAAAAAGTGTAGCTTGTAATCTTGATCACATGCTCTTAAGAATTGGTGTACTGCTGATAGGTACCACCTCTCTCCATTCCTTTACACTGAAAAAGGCTAGTTTGCTTAAGCTCTTCTCTTAGGGCACGTGTTCCAGACACTGTTGGTGTAGGTGGCTGGACTTCTGAAGCTTATCAACAGTTTTCTTGTGGTGAAGGACCCCCTACTAGGAGCAGTATTCCAGAATCCTCGATCCCCTTGCTTTCTTTGGCATACTGGTTATGCTTTTGGCCCAGGATATTGTTCACTACTCAAAGAATGCTCTAATTCATACAACCTCGTGTCCCCAGGTTCCATAGTACATTTGCAGCAGAGCAGTTCCTCGGGCACTTGGTTCCCAGAATGTGTGAGCGCAGGGCAGGGAGTTTTTCCCAGATGTAGGACTTGCTATTTGTCCTTGTTAAATTTCATGAGATTCCAATGCGCTGCCTAAACTGAGAAAATAAAAATGTATTAATACAATGGATACTAAATTGATAGTCATTTAACATTTGTTCTGCCTGAAACATATAGTTCTATAGGTAGGAAATGTGTCATAAAGTTAGTGTTCAAAAAAAACATGACTTGTGTGCAGGTTGACAGCGGTTACTTTGTCTCGGAGATTTGTACAATTACACTGTGTGTTTTTCTGTGTTCCTTTAAGCTTCCTTCTAAATAAATAGGGGATGATTTAAATGTTAGGTTGTTGTGTGCTTTATCTTTTTAAATCAAGTAGTTTTGGCCTGGAGGTTTGCAAATGGCTACAATGGAAATATGTTTTCTGGTGTTTTATTAAGGTACTGGAAGATGTGACAGGTGAAGAATTTGTTCTATTCATGAAAATATTGTCTGGATTAAAAAGCTTACAGACAGTAAGTGGAAGGCAGCAACTAGTGGAGCTGGTAGCCGAACAAGCTGACCTGGAACAAACATTCAATCCGGCAGATCCAGATTGTGTGGACAGACTTCTGCAGTGTACTCGACAGGCAGTGCCACTCTTCTCAGTATGTATTTGTCTCTTTCATATGAGAAGTAATGTGGAAAGTTGATAGCCGTAGCTCATCTTAAGTATTCTGAGTGATTACATTAGAATGAAAACATACCAATACTTCTCTGCCTTTCACATGTGAGAATGTTGGTAGGCAGCCTTTAAGCCCACAAATAGAGAGCTTTTGTGTATTCAGATGTTTTCTTTCAAATTTAGATGTTACAGCCAATTATGACAAGAGTCTCACACGAGGTTTGTATATGTGTTTGATCGATTCAGGTCTGATGCCAGGCAACTGCAGCATGCACTGTCCTTTTACCATGTTATAGGCACTCTTTTTAGCCCTTGTTGCAGAATGCCTCGAAGTTTAAGCTACCTTAGAAGGGTCTTTGCCTTTCAGAGTTAAAGATAAGTTTAATAAAGCTTTAAGGTATATCTGTGTGGTAGACATTTACAAGGCTGGCAAGTGATGGGGGGAGTTTTTAATTCATTCAAAAGAGTCATCTGAAGCCTGTGTTGTTTTCTGCAGAAGAACGTTCATTCCACAAAATTTGTTACTTACTTCTGTGAGCATGTGCTTCCAAACCTCAGTGCTTTGACTACTCCAGTGGAGGGTCTTGATATCCAGTTAGAGGTAAGACAAGGTTACAGTGTCTTTGAAATCCTGAGAAGTATGCATCTGTACTGTAGGAAACCTAGCTACACTAGGAAAATAATGTTTGCTGTATTGAAGCACAGCTGAGCATTGACTTTTAAAGCACGTTATTTGTCCAAGCTATTGAGACAAGGCTTGAATATAAATAGATCAGTGTAATCATCTTTATATTGCTGTCAATTTTTTTTAAGCAGGTAGCATTTACGGAAATTATTGTTGCGTAGCTTGTGTTAATTTAGTCTCCTAAGGGAGTGGCTTAATGTCAGTAATTTTGCTTACGTTAATCAGTGTTGCAGTTGCACTTAAATCGTTATGAATTTCCATGTAAAGGTGAGCTATGCATGAGAGAACAAGGTTTTTGTTTGCAGAAAAGTGTTAGTGTTGCTTGCTGAGAGTGGACAGCAATACCTGTGTTTCTGTTTGGGGATGTGAGCAGACTGGGCATATTCCCACTTAAATTCTTTCCTGAGACCAGGAGTTTGATTTCATTATTATTTTTTTTTAATCTGTAGTAGCTGACTTCTACTGCACCAACAATAATTATATGATGATTTCATTTGGTCTGAAAGTTAAGCTTCCTTTCTTCTCTATTAACACATAAAAAACAACTATCCTTATGTGTAGGTCTTGAAGCTTCTTGCTGAAATGAGTTCATTTTGTGGAGATATGGAAAAGCTGGAATCAAATTTGAAGAAACTATTTGATAAATTGCTGGTAAGACTAATTCAACTTTTTACTGGTGTAAAACACTAAAATAAACACTTTTCATCACAAGTTATGCTAATCCATTAATCTGTTTATCCTTTTCAAAAGTGGCTGCATCACAGGTAACGTTCTCCATAATACAAGGACAAACGACATGTGCTATTCAGAGCCCTTCTGAAAATAAAGAAAGGCATGTTGGTCTTAATCCAGTATACTTGCAGGAAAAGGGAGGAAAAAAAACAGCATAGCAATGAGAGACTCATGTTGAATCTCATTAAATGCTATATCTGCACTGCAAGTGTTAAATAAATTCTGCAATATTTCAGAAACATTGATACAGTTTGTTGTTGCTTTCTGTAGTAGAAGTGCTACCACAGTCTCCTATGACTCAGAGATGTCAGTGAACATGAGTGTAGGCTAACTGCAGGAACCAGGACTTGTGGAGCAGCTCCACGCAATAGTGTCAGGATGGGAAATTCTTCTTAAATTGTCAGCAAAAATGAAGCCTCCAGTTCCTCATTATATGTGCCTCATATATTTGTTTCTCCTTTCTGTTCATTAGGAGTATATGCCACTTCCTCCAGAGGAAGCAGAGAATGGGGAAAATGCTGGTGGTGAAGAGCCCAAGTTGCAGTTCAGTTATGTTGAGTGTCTCTTGTATAGCTTCCATCAGCTGGGTCGTAAACTTCCAGACTTCCTCACAGCCAAGCTGAATGCAGAGAAATTGAAAGACTTTAAAATCAGGTAATTGTTTAGGGGCAGGTCTTGGAATTCTGTTAAGAGGTGTTACTGTAAGGATTTTTCTTCATCGAAAAATGTTTAGAACTTCATTTTGCTTACACATTTTATAGGAATATGTAAAACTAACCACTTGCTTTTCAACTTTCTAGGCTACAGTATTTTGCTCGAGGGCTGCAGGTGTATATTCGGCAGCTTCGTCTAGCACTCCAAGGTAAAACAGGAGAAGCCTTGAAAACAGAGGAGGTAAGTATTGTGGAAATAGTGACTGTATAGTTGAGTGTACAGAAATAATCACTGGTGCATAATGATAGGCTGCCACCTGTTGTAAGCATGCAAATAGGTGAAGGGAGCATGCTGCTAATATCTACTGGTGCTTTCTCTTTACACTTATTTGTGTTGCCTATGTTTTAGATGATTGATATAAGCTCAGCTTGTCCACTAATCTTATTTCAAAGATGTGGTTTTATTTTATTTTATTTTTTGCATGTGAGATTATGGTTCATTATTAAAATTCAGTTACCAACTACTAAACTTCATATTTCTGGATCCTCTCAGATATGAAATAACAGAAAAGGCTACAGGTTATATAATTCAAATAAATTGAAAATGTTGCTTGGCACTGAGGACACTGCCTTCAACTTGGTGTGAGTTCTGCAGGTTGGCCAGTTTCAAAATAATCAAGAAGGCTTTGAATAATACTGAAGCTCTACTGGGGCTGCAGTTGTGATAATGGTTCAGTACCCGATTGGGTTATGGTTTATCTTGCATGATTTTAAAGCATTGTTTTAAAGTGGGTCCTCTGGTGTAACTGCAGTCTAACAACAGAAGAATGCACTTGGAGGAAGGGAGTGGGAATTACACTGGAGCATAACAAGGAACTGACTGTTGCAGAGCTGCTGGGAGCCTAAAAAACTGTAACCTTGAGAATGTGCACACACCTTTCACTGCTGCTACAGCAGTTCACTGAATAGCAACTGGTATAATTTTAAGCTACTGAAACAGCAAGTATTCAGTGGTAATTTTTAATTTTTTTTTTTTAACAGAACAAGATCAAAGTGGTTGCTTTGAAAATAACCAATAATATTAATGTTTTAATCAAGGTAAGTCTTAACATTATGAGCAAATAATAAGTAGAGTAACCTATGGAGAAAAAAGGGAATAATTTGAAACAAATTGTATCATGTTAAGTTAGTCTTAGCTAGTGTGCTGCCTACTCTTCCATTTCTGAAGAGACGTGAATCTGCTGCTTCTGCTCCTTTGCCGCTGTTTGGAAAGGGTATGTATTGAGGCTCTTTTTAGTGGCAGCAGTTGCCAGCAGGAGTAGATAACCTTGTTTTAAGGGAGTGTGGATTACAGCCTTCTGAGCCTTCTTTCCTTCTCATTCCTGCTGTGCTAGAGACAGGTAAGGAATAGTTCAAAGAATTGCAAAGAGATGTAAAGGAAGGAAGAGGCAAAGTAAACTGCCGTTTAGAGCTGTTTTCTCCAAACAGTCTGGAAGAGATGGGCTGAGGAAATAAACTTTTATCCACAGACCTTGGAAACATTCTTATTTCTTTGAACAACATTTTTAAAACCACTAATTTCACTAGCTGCCTTTCTTCATATCCCATCCCTCATCTTTCCCATGCTATCAAGAAACTTTTTTTAACCTTCACAACAGGAATATCAGATGTGCCTGCAGGAGCCATTTAGTTCTTTAAAAGATAGAGGGTGGTTTTTTGTTTTTTTTTGGTTTTTTTTTGTTTTTTTTTTGGTTTTCTTGCATAGGTAGAGAAATTAAGTGTATTTTTGCAGTATTAGGTCTTATTCTGGTTAATTCAAATCTCTTTTGAATTTCCTACTAAACGATATGGAACTAAAATAGTTAGCTTCTGTTCCCTTTTCTGCCACAGAATTTTAAAGGTTTGGGTTTTAAAACTCTTCAAAGGCATGTGCTTTTCTGGAGCTTCAATGGGCAACTAAAACTTTGAGTGCAATGGATGTGGATTTGACTGCAGAATGAATTGTCCAATTTTGTCTCCACAGGATCTCTTCCACATTCCTCCTTCTTACAAAAGTACAGTCACACTGTCCTGGAAACCAGTACAGAAGGCAGATGCAAAGTAAGAGGTTTTTCATTAACAGCAATGATGAAAAAAATGTTGTTAACTTTTGCTGTTCACAAAACACAGATTCCAAGTGTGCATTTATATAATGTACACAGCACGAGTTAAAAGTTTCGCAACCGAAATTGAAACCCACCCTGAAAGGACTTAAGGCTGGGATAAAATAATCTAGGTCTTGATTTAGGGATGTGATAGACTGAATCAACTAGAGACTAGTCTACTTGCTCTTCAGAATTATTGTTCAGGACATCTTCAGTAGTTACTGCTAGTTTACAGTTGTTAATCTTTGAAGCTGAATAGTCATTCCTGTACTTGTCACCACAGGGGTAAAATGATCTGGTTTTGTTTTCTTCTGTCAGTCAAAAAAGAACAAGTGAAGATACAACCTCAAGTTCACCTCCAAAGAAAGCTTCGGCAGGACCAAAAAGGGATGCCAGGCAGATATATAATCCTCCCAGTGGAAAATACAGTAGTAACCTGGGCAGTTTTTCGTACGGTGAGTTAGGCAGCTTGCAAAAGCTTTGTCCAGTTACAGTTGTGCCTTTGGGGGTGGGGGGAAAGGGCAAATTAAGCACGTTCTTAGAAGCTCACATTGTACTGTCACCAATTTTTGTGTGTAATGACCTTTTTCTAATTGCTGATCAATTAGTGTTTGAGTACTATCAGCCTATATAGACTGTAATGTGACTTGCCAAATTAGTTTTAGTAGTGTTTAAATACACAAGCTTTTTAAGGTAACTGTTTCCAGTGCTTTATCTCATAATAGAGAATGTACCCTGGATTTCCAAGTGGCAGTTCAATTTCTGCAAGTGACCCCTGCCTGTCTTATGACTTGACCTGTGTTCAGTTTTTCTTATTGCTGACGCTGCAGCCCTTTTCCAAAGCTTTTAGGATTTGTCAGATGTACAGTGCATACTCCCAATGTCAGAGTCAATCTGTCTTTCTGAAAGTCATTTTTGTGGGTTACAGCAGCTGCAGGCTGGATGAACAAGTGCAACAGTTGCAGCAGCCTGTTCTCACCATCTTGCCCAGATGTCTATTGGGCCTACTTCTGCCAAGTAAATGTCTTGCCATGACAATTTATCACCTATGTCCGTAGATAAAAGAAAAAAAAAAAACTGATATAAAACATTCTTATATCTAAAAGAAGGAAAAGGGGAAGTCTGAGAATTTTTTAGTGCAGACTTGAGCTGATGCAGTTCTGTACTTTAATATAATAATACTTGTAATTATAGCAGTTGTAAAAACTAGAAACTTCTTAGTTGGCTAGTTTTTTGTTGTTTTTTTTTTTATATTGAGATGCCAAGGCCTCTCATCCACTTTCAATTTCTGTACATTTTAAAATATGTCCATGGTTCTCCTCATAGATTAAAAGACTGTACATTGGAGAGAAAGCATAGAAGAAGAATGAGAGTTCGATTCACTTTTTTTTTTTTTTTTTCTCCACTGTGATCAAATTTGTTCTTCACAGGGAGAAACAAAACATCTTTTACAGTATAGAAAGTAGTTTGTGTAGTATCCAGTTATACCTAAGATCTTTCATTCAGATATACATCGTGGTACCAGCTAACAAAGAAACTTAAGTATGCCTATAACTTAAGGATAGAAAAAGGCAGGCTGAAAAAGTTGTGAGTTTCCATCATTTTATAAAATCCATAGGAGCAAGTCAGGTGAACATATGTCAAGATCAGCATGGTGTTATTGGACTGAAGGATGAACTAGATGGCCAGGTGGAGTTATTTACAGCCCAGTTTTCAGGGCTAGCTCAGTCACAGTACACAGAAATACTGTGCTTAGTTTAAAGAGGCTGGTTCTCCTGGCATCCTTTTACAATTAGCACTCCCGAGTACAACTCAGATCTTACAACAAGCAAGATTAACCTCAGAGATTGAAGTCAGCCTCAATACCTCTAGCTATTGCTGTTTAGTTCTCATCGGTACACAGCATGAAACCTATATGACAAGTTTTTGATTTCTATTTCAGAGCAAAGAGGTGGTTTCCGGGGTGGACGAGGAAGAGGCTGGGGAGGACGTGGCAATCGTAGTCGAGGAAGAATCTACTGAGTAGACCATCGTATGTTCCATGGTCCCTGTGGCCTAAGGCAAAAGTACACTCAGCAAAAGATTGCTTGGAGTATTGTTTCCTTCAAGGACTGCCTTCCGCTAAGACTGATTTAAATGTTCTTTATACCTTTGTATGTATGATCTACTTTTCTAACGGACTACAACTTGTCCATAGTGAAACTACAACTGTATTTTTGGATGCTTACAGTCAGCAGTTTTGGGTTCTTGTTTTTGAAGTGTCTTCAGGATTTATTCAAAATTGGAAAGGAGCATAGGTGTTTTATCGAAATTTACATCTTGATTGTTTGCATATTAACCTAAAAATCAGCTACCGCGTTACTGATACTATGTAATTGATTTTATGTATGAAGTAATGGATAGGAAAGGCATGATTACAGAGATATGTCAGAAAAGCTTAGCACCTAAAGTAATCCTTTCCTAGTCTGTAATCGTATTTTGCAATATGTGGAGAAGAGTACCGTTGTTAGATTTGCTTTTATTTACTTACAATGAACTTGACTGAGAGACCTGCTGGTTTTTTGAAGTTTGCAACTTGGTTGGAAATTTATTTTGCTTGTAGCATGAAGCAGTCCTTCTACTTAGAAAAGTGGAGAATGTGGTGTTCTTTTGTTTTGTACATCTTACTCTTCTCCGTGCATTGTAATGCAAAAGTGGTGTTTTGCAAAGGAATTTTAAATGTTTGATATGAATACGTGCATATAATTATGCCATGAAATTACAGGAAATGAGCAGGAAAAACAAAACAATAAATCACTAGAATTGTTCCAGGAATGGGTGAAGACTGATGCAGTGATTAAGCTTTGTAGACTGGAGCTGGACCGTAGCAGTACCTGGCTCTTTTCTGTGCTTTGCAAATTTCTGGGTTAGTTGGTACTCAAGGGTTGTGTTTTTGTTTTGTCTTTTTACCAATACAGTTTCATTTAAAAATATATAAATAAAATTGTATTTTGGGTAACATTCAAAAATTCCAGCAGTGTAGTCGAATTCAAGTGGAAAAATTAACAAATCCATGCTATTGCTTTTTTCATAGCAACTTGGAGTTCTTATTTGCTGGTGTACACCCAGAAAATACAATGTAAGAGCACAATGCTTTTTTTTTATTCTCACCACTTAGAATTTTTACTTCTCAGGTCACTCAACATTGTAAAGGGGTTAGCTGGTAGTAAAAAAGAAAAGAAAAAAAAAAAAAGTTGGGGCAGGGGAAGAGAATTTCTAACAAGACTTCCAGGGCATGTTGGTGTAAAATAGCTTAGGTTTTAGAAGAATGAAGATCTTTTCTTATCCTCTTTTTTTTTTTTTTTTTTTTTTTTTTTTTTTTTTTTTTTTTCTGCAGTCATTTGGTATCCACATATGAATGCTTGAAAGTGATGTTTTGCCACCCAGTTCCATTTGTATTTGCTTGTGAATCTGACTCAGGTGTCTTCAGTAACACTTCCATATTTATCACTGCAATCAAAAGGGCGGAATACCAGAATTATATCGAAGTTGGAGTTATTAACCAAATTGTGAGTCTATTTTTGCTCACCTCTCGAGCAGCAGGCATTAAACTTAGGACATTCCAAGACAGGGGAGCTTACTTGTGCTTCTGAATATATGCCAGCTGCAAATCATATTTGTCTCTAAAAGCAACAAACTTAGCAAAGCATTTTTCAAGTACAAATTCATGAGATCAAAGTGTCACTCTGAAAACAGGCACTAGATGGTAATAAGCTTTCATTGAAGGAAAAAAATATATTTTGCACTTGTGGCTATAATTTGTTGTCTTGAGGAAATTTAAGAATGTAATCTCCAAGCCTAAATGTAGCTTGCATTTAGACTAGTAGCTAGGCACTAGCAGCTTATTTTCTCACTGAGTTTGGAGTGAGTTTTTGTGGGGCTCCTGTTTTCCAGAGATGACATGCAAAGTTCTTGTGGCCTCAGAAGTAGTTAGATTTTCTCCATTTAGTACCTAATTTTAATGCAGTGAGTTCTTGCAGAGGCACCTGTTTACCATCTTGATGACTTGTAAATGTTCCCTTATGCTTTTGGAATAAATTCATTTTGTAATTTTGTTCGGCTCATTGTTTTACAGTTACTCTGCAGCATTTTATGCTGGCTTAGTAGCAGGGTGCTGTGCTACATTTTGGTTTAGGGACTTACTCATCAGATTGCCATGGATATATCGGGCCGTTTGTCATTAAGGAATATTTATCAAGACTATATGAGCTGCTTCAGTGTGAGTAACTTAACTTAAATGCAAAATCTTGCACAGGCATTTAAATATTCAACACAAGTTGCATGTCTCACAGATCCGTTATATTTTATTTGGGAATGTATTGTGAAAAGGAGACGTCACATTCACATAATATTCTAGATGTTGGCAATGCAATAAAATATGTTGGTGTCTTGACAGCAACAGCAGCTTGGAGTAACAGCCTGATTTATTTGGTGAGGAGTGCAGCGTGCCTCGTGTGAAAACCTGGGCAACTGTAAGTAGCACAGCTGCGGGACTGTATTCTCCATCTGCCCTTAAGGAACGCAAACCCTTGTGTTAGCCAAGTGCTCCATCGGCATTTGTAAGCTTTTTCCTTAATTGTAGGTGCTGGCCGTGTGTTACAGGCACGTTTTTCTGTTCGGCAGGCTGAGGAAGGCTGGTGTTCCGGAGGAGCACAACTGCTCGCAATTCGGCTACAACGGAGGGAAAACTGAACGTGGAAATCCTGCTTGGACCTGGGACAGCGTAGCTGCAGCTGAGCCGGTGTAACTCGTGGTGAACGTGGGTGCCGTCAGCTGGAGAAATGAGAAGTAGTTCAAAAGTATTGGAAGTAGCGGCGGACCACCCCCCCCGGACGGCCCCCTCGCGAAGCGCGGCCCCGCCCCCCCCTCCCGGAGCCCACCTCCCAAAATGGCGGAGCGAGCGTTTCCGGTTCCGGGTGGTGCGGGCAGGCCGGGATTGGGGAAGATGGCGGCGGCAGCGGCGTCCGGGTGGGGCGGGCTGGGGCGGGCGTGGGTCTTCTCTGGCTGGGCGCTGGGCTTGTGCTCGTTGCTGGCCTCGGGGACGCGACCCGCCGCCGCCACCACGCACTGGGTGGTCACGGAGGACGGGAAGATCCAGCAGCAGGTGAGGCTGGGAGCGGGGGGCAGCCGGGAGCCGCGGCGGTGGGGGATCTCCTGCCCGCGCCGCCCTTCGTCGCAGCCTGAGCCCCTCCCGGCCTCCCCGCGGCGGGGCGAGCAGCGGGAGCTCTCGGGCCGGCAGCTGCCCTATTGCCCTTTGCCGCGCGGCCGTTGCCAGCCGCCGAGCCCCGTTAGCTGTGGGAGCGGCTCTTTGGACGCGATCGGTGCGGTTGGGCTTGTGAATGAGTGTGCGATTTCTTGTTCCACCGCCCCGCCCCGCCCGCTTTTCGCTTCTTCTGGAAGCAGAACGTTGAAGTGGCACCGTGGCAGCTGGATGCAGGGGTGTACTCTGGCCTCCTTCAGTTCCTGTGGGAGTACTCGGCGTGCCTTATCTTGGTGCTGGGCCGTGCCTCACGCACGCTGAGAATGTTTGGGTTTCATGTTGGAGTTCTGTCATACGGGCTGTGATCTCTTGTTCATCTGTTGCAGTGTCAGATGTGCTTTGGTTGTAAACGTCACTGCCACGGCTGTCCTTGGCTGGAGTGGGAGGCAGTCATTGCAGAAACCTATGCCTCCATCATTTTTTTATCAACAGTAGAACAGCGTGGAGCAATGAGAGTCTGTTAGCATTGCTTTTCTTCTGAGAGGCTTTTGCCCGGCTCTCCTGTGTGCATCTGTAGTGCTGAGGCAGGAGGAGCAAACTGCCTGGAGGAGGCCCTGCTGCCTACATCAGCCTAGGCCGTGCCTCATGGGCTGCCTGCATGGATCCCAGCGCTCTAACCTCGCTTAATCACATGCTAATGAATGACAGCACTCAGTGTTATTTCTCCTCCTTTTCCCACTTATGTGAGTGGGGAAATGATGAAAGTAAATGTTAATGGACTGGAAGCATCCGTGTGTGTGTATATTAATTGTATATTATCAATTCTGGGTGAAGTGTTGATTTTGATTATTGCGTGAAAAGCAGCTGTGACTTGAAAAAATCTAATTAGCTAAAATGACTGGCAGATCTAATTAGCTAAATCCAGCACTGCTTTTAAGAAGTGACTTCTTATGATGTTGCATAAATGATGGATGCATTTAGAAGTTTCTATTGAACCACTGCTCTGCTGTAAGTTATTTAATTGCATTAGTCTTCTAACTAGTGGCATTCTCATGTTCCTTTTGTAAACTACTTGAAAACTGAGTTGACGTGATAAAATAATGTCTGTAGAACAAGTTAACTTTTTGTTTTTTTAACCTGTGCCATCAGAATGAATTCACCCACTACCAGTAAGGAAACCCAAATTATAAATACAATATACTTGGGATATGAGAAGCTGGGTTCCTCAGTAGCTGGGATGCAGCGCTTTTTCATGAAGTGGTGCTTATTCTTCAGTGAGTTATTTGTAATAGGATGTACTTCAGCATCTGTTAGCTTTTTCTCTCTGGCTCTTGAAAAAGTGGACCTGATCTTTGTGTCTCTTGCTATCACCACCCCTGCGGAGTACCTCGCACCTTCACTTTTTCCATTTATTTGTGTGCTGGAAAATGAGAGATGTGGACGTTTTTCTAGAGTGAGCTTATATTTTAAGTGTGTATGTGTGTGTATACATACATATACACAAATATAAATACATATTTTTCCGCTATGTGTGTATGTGTATTGCTGCTAAATGTTGAATCACGATAGATGACCTCTTCATTCATTGGTAAGGGGGTGATTTGTAACAGATTTATTATCACTTCTTTGATAGAAGTATAATATTCCAAAATAACTGAGTTCTTAAGACGAATACACAAGTACTTTTAACAGAACTTAAAATTTCCCTTCAAAGTATTCTTTTAAATGTTCAGAGTATCTTTCATTAAGTTGATATTTTTGTAAGAATTTATTTTTACTACTACAGTTAGTAATTCAGTCATCCTTTCTGGGGCTTTCCTCTGTGTTCTTGCAGATCCTTGGCTATGCAGTTTCTTGTGTTTCTCTGCAGTGTCCAACATTTCAGCTTCCCAGCGTATGGGGAGCAGTACCCGCATACCAGTTTTTCTGCCAGGTTTAATAAAACTGTTGGGGTTTTTTTGCAGAAAAAAATATATCATCACATCAGGATTCTCTGTATTACGCCAGTCTTTTCCTTTGAACTTTGAAATAGTGGTTCGCTGTGATATTTCCTGCTGTGTGCATGGCAGTCCATGTTTGGATTTTGAAGGACCTTATCTACGATATGACAGCGTGTAAGTGAGGACTCACATTTGGAACAAGCTTCATGTGCTTCTGATTTGAGTACAAAAACATAAAGAGAAGCACAGGGCAATGCTGCCTTCCTCACAGCTCAGAGCAGTGGCAGCTAGATCAGTTCACAAGTTCACACAGTGCTTGGCTGTGTCTGTGGATGGAGATTCAAGGGCACCTGCTCCAGGGCTCAGCTCTTTCAGAGTGTTGTTATGGTTTTTTTTCTTTGCTCATTAGAACTTCCTGTCCATCAGTTTTGGCTGATTCCTCTGATTATGGCACCACAAAAAGCATCTGGCTCAGTCTTCTCTGCGCCTTCTCATGAGGAAGCTGGAGGCAGCAGCGTCTCCCTTTGGCTGGCTCCTTGAAGCTGAGCCTGATTTTCATCCTTTCCACATGGGTTTTGCAGGGCTTGTTCAGGTGTGTCAATGTATGGTACCATGCCATGAAAGCTGGTGAACTCTCACAACTGCTTCACTTTCCTTGGCCTGCTGGCTCCAGTCTGCAGCCCAGCATGCAGCTAACCTTCTCTGCTGCACAAGCATGTGCTGCTGACTCATCATAAATTTTTCCCCTAGCAGAACCCACATGTCCGTTTCTGCAATGCCATTTCAATTTGGTCAGCCCCAGCCCTTCCTGGTGCAGGGGTGCTGTGTTTGCTTTTGCCTTCTCTGATCTGCACAGTGACTTCTCCAGCTGCGTTGCTTCCAGCCCTTCCCACTGCTGTGCCACCCGTGTTTGCAGAGGGTGCCCAGCTTGCTGAGGTTTGGTTGTTCCCCATTTATGAAGACATTAAACAGTGCTGGCCCCAGGATTAATCCCCAAGGGACGCTGCTGGTGACTGGCCACCACTGGACTTTGCACTGCTGAGCACAGCAGACTCACACTGGAAGTGCCCAGTGCTGTCCGGTGACAAACAGTTGTGGCATCAATTAGTATTTCTGTTGTTAGGTTTAGTAGGAGTGTTAGCTTTCTCAGAGTGTGAAATGCATTAAATTGTTGCCTTTTTGGGAGCAGAGAGAGTTTAATTTTCACTTGGACTAGTTATCTGAATGAAGCCCAAATAATTAAGCTTAAGTGATAGTCAAATCCAGGCATTCATGTTGTGGGTGGTTCGCTAGCTGTGGAAATCCAGAGAAGCACCAATGAAAAGAGATTCCCTGCAGCCTTGAGTTTGCTGCCGTGAATTGCATTCCCCTTGTTACCAAAGAACACTGTGGCTCGTGAGTGGAAAGGCTGCAGATCCTGACCTGAGACAATCTGAATCTGAGGGAATAATTTATACTATTACCTTAAAATCTCCAGTAAGTGTTTTCTCACAATACAGCAAGTATGTAAGCCTTTAATATGAGACTGTGTTCAAGTGTGAATGATGTTCCTATAAGATAGTTAACAGCCTGACTGTTAGTTAACAATCTGACTGACTGATAGTTAACAACCCTGACTGCCTTCTGGAGCTCCTGGAGCTATAACAACCAGGCAGGTGGCAGAGCTATGACATACCCAACAGTTTGCAATGTATCAGCAAGATCCCATGCAATAAATGGGAGTGTTTGCTAAGTAGGCACTGCTGTTCCAGTGAGCATTTCTGAATGATAAAGCAAGTTAATTCTCGGCAGTGAGACAAGAGAATGTTACATGCACTAAGCCATCAAGTGAAAGCCATCAAGCTCTGTCTTTTGCTCTAGGAGCTGTTTTCAGGTCAAATACATCATTCTCACTCAGATCCTGTTCTTTTTTTT